CATCCTCTGTGTGTTTCTTCAGAGCTGGGAGCTGACACAAAAGTGAATGAAGAATTGTCTTTAGAGAAAGCTGTTCATGGTGCCAAGGTAGCTGCCCAACGTAAGCTGGATCAAGAGTTGGGTATACCAGCAGAAGACATTCCATTGAAAGAGTTCAAGTTTTTGACGAGAATCCACTACATGTCTCCTAGTGGAGGAGCTGACAGCAAATGGGGAGAGCATGAGATTGATTACATTCTGATAATAAAGGCAGACCCCCGCTATACTCCAAATCCCAATGAAGTTGGTGACAGTAAATACGTTTCCAAGGAAGAGTTGAAGGAAATGTTCAACGATTCTTCCCTAGTCTTCACGCCCTGGTTTAAGTTAATATGCGAGTCCTACCTTTTCAAGTGGTGGGACAACCTGGACAATTTAGACCAATTTAGAAATGAGACTATTGATCGTATGTTGTAACCGGATTAGCATTATCCAATTTAGTTTTAATTCCAACTAATATTAGGTCACTCGTTACGAAAACAAAATAGGATCCCGACTAGTTATGTATTGGGCATCGCGATCTACATTTTCTCAGGCCTCCCTCCCTTTAACTGTCTTTATTCTCGTCAACATCGGCCCTCCCAGTGCTTTTTTTGCTTCCTATTGAAAATGTTTCCCGGTAGACAGCACGCAACTTATTCATCCAACCAGGAATTTCAGAGACCACCCGCAGCTCCTCCCACTAATAATTCACAGCAGTTCTATCGTCCCCCGGTCGGACCACCACCTGCTCAGAACAGCGGGTACAACGTGAATCAATACCAAGCTCCATCAACGCCTCCTTCAAATTGGCAGAAACAGCAATACCAAGCTCCACCAACGCCTCCTACGAATCAAAGGCAACAGTACCAACAAGCCTCATACTCAAGCTCCCGTCAAGCCCCTCAACAATCTCAATATGGACAGTATCAGACCTCAGATTGTACTGGGCGAAAGAAGGCACTTTTAGTTGGAATCAACTATTTTGGAACAAGTAGTGCTCTAAATGGTTGCATTAACGATGTGCAAAATATGAAAGCTTATTTGATTAATTATCATGGTTACAAGGCTGAAGACATGGTTATTCTCACTGATGACCAGAAAGATATTGTTTCGATTCCTAACAAGCAGAACATGATTGCAGCTATGCAATGGCTGGTCAGTGACGCTAGACCTAATGATTCACTTGTGTTTCATTACTCTGGTCATGGAGGAAGAACCGAGGATTTGAATGGAGATGAAGTTGATGGGTTTGACGATGTCATTTACCCTCTCGACTTCAAAACCGCGGGGCATATCGTTGATGATGACCTTCATGATATCTTAGTCAAGCCACTTCCAATGGGTTGTCGTCTAACTGCTATTTTCGATTCTTGTCACTCGGGTACCTGTTTGGATGTTCCGTTTACCTATAGAGCCCAAGATGGTCAAATCAAGGAGTACAATGTATGGAAAGAAAGTGGCAGTGATGCTATGCAAGCTGTCTTGGGATATGCTCAAGGTAATATGAGTACAGTTGTGAAATCAGTAGGCAGCATGTTCAAAAAGGTCACCAAGTCAAATTCGTCAGCTGTTGAGAGGATTAAGAAGGAGAAATTTTCCCCTGCAGATGTCATTGCATTCTCAGGTTGTAAAGACACCCAAACCAGTGCGGATACAGTCCAAAATGGAACGGCAACAGGTGCCATGTCATGGGCTTTTATTTCGGTTCTCACACAGAATCCTAATCAAAGCTATTTGACTCTGTTGCAGAATATTCGGAATCTTATCGGTACCAAGTACTCTCAAAAGCCTCAAATGTCCTCCTCGCACCCTATGGATTTAAATACTAGATTTATAATGTAAAATAACTGATAAAATTGTATCGTAGATGTTAAGGAGGTTTAACAGCTCTTTAGCGTTCAAACAGGTGCGAACCTAACCTTTAGGACGTGTGGCCGAGTTGGTCTAAGGCGCCAGATTAAGGTTCTGGTCTCTCAGGAGGCGTGAGTTCGAACCTCACCGCGTTCATCATTTTTTTCTGGCAACCATCAGGTTCCCAGTAATAATTATTGCTAGGTTATTTCACTAGTCAATAAGTCTAAAAGGGCTAGAACAGCAATACGATTAGAGATGTCAACCAGTTTAGTATCCATCACAATTCAGTGATTTCTACAAGTATCATTTCAACATTAGGTTCAGATGAAAAAAAAAAAAGATTGCAGCACCTGAGTTTCGCGTATGGTCTCCCACTACACTACTCGGTCAGGCTCTTAGCAGCTTAACTACGGTTGATCGGACGGGAAACGGTGCTTTCTGCTAGATATGGCCGCAACCGAAAAATTAATATTAGACTAGCTTATATTTCGAGATAGACAAAAATTATTTAGGACCCAAGCCACTTGATACCATTGCACTTGTGAGGCTGGTTTCCTTGCATGATTACGCTATTTGGATATAAGACGCAAAAAGTTAAAGAACCCCTTAAGCTAGCAAGTTCGTAATGGAATACAATCTTTTATCTTCTATTACCGTATTTGATGAGAACCAGAGATTTGAATTGTGCTTTTTAGCACAGTTACGTCTGAAAGGAGATTATGGCCCGGCATATCTTGAGTGTGCACGTAATCTTGGACCATATCTCATGAAAGTTACCGGAATTGCGATCATTGCAACAGTGATGAACCCCAGGACAGAAGAGCCCCAACCAACAGGGAATTTCTCAGATCCCAAGTTCGTATATAGCGCATGCCCAAACAGTGGGAAAACACTGGCAGAAAAAGACCTGAAAAGATCATTTCCAGCAAAAGCTGATGCCATGTATCTAGGGAAAGACATTGCAAGATAGTTGAAGAGTGTCTGGAAAATGAGATAACCACCAGCAGCAAAAAGACCGCTACCTATTATAGGTACAATCCAGTGGATATCTTTAGTGGCAGTCCATCCCAAGATAAAAACTCCAGCGGGCATTATGCAACCTCCAATAATAGCCCCCGGAATAAAGAACTCAGGATGAATGGTTTCGTTTGCTATCACTCTTTTTGCAAAGGTAATGTGACACGTATAGCAATAGCATGCAGAGCATATCAACACACCAATTAATATTCCAGCAAAACTAGCTCCCATTCCAATAAGGCTGAATCCATAGATCTCTAAGAATACAATTGGAAACGCTTCGAACCAAATGTACCAAATTGAATAAACCATCGAAATATAAAGATTGATCATCAAGACAACAGGGTCTCTGAATGATATGTCAATTGGTCTCCATAAGCATTCGATTAAAACTTCCTTTGGAGTTCTGTCCTGTATATCTAATTCTCCTTTGCTGATGATCAATTCATTTTTTGTTACTGCTCGGAGTCTCTTAGCCTTTCTGTAAAGAAGGGTTGGCGCATATGTTTCCGGTAGAGTGAAGCCAAGAACTATAAACAGTGCGCCAGAGGTAATCAACAAAAACCAGAAACACCATCTCCAATCAACAAGTTGAGAAAATATGGCTCCAAAAAGTGGTCCTAAAGAAGGACCACAGACAGCGCAAACACTCCAAAGGCCTAGTCCAACAGGCAAGTGTGGTATAGCAATAACATCACCTACAGAAGCAGGACCTGTTGCCAACGCTGGTGACGCAAAAAATCCTCCAAGAAATCTCAAAATACAAAACCCAGCAATGTTAGTGGTCAATGCCGTTGGGATTTGCAGAATGGCAAAGATGAACAGGGTCCACACATATATCGTTGTTCTTCCGATAGCGGGATGTTCAGACATGGGGGAGAATATCATTGGACCTACAGCATATCCAATCACAAACAAGGTTAGTGGAAGAGTTGCTACCGTCCTGCTAACACTGAGATCACTCATAACTTCTTCTATACCGGGTGTAAAGATTGCAGATCCCATATAAACTGCGACGGTTAAGATTCCCACTTCAAAAGTAACGAAGCACTTTAAAAATGTACTCCAGTTTTGGGGATTTTCTGCCTTGTCATATTCATCCCAGTCCGCTATGACTCTAGTAGTCTTTACTTCCTCTAACGAAGAATTAGAAGTATCTACCAAACCGTCCATTATGTTTTTCTCAGGTTCACCATGTATCGATACTTGGTCTAAATTCAGGTAGTACTTCTCAGGAGCAATAAAATCACGTTTCTCTTCAGGAAAAGAGAAGTACTTGTGTTTACTCAGGTGGTAGATGGTCCTGCCCCAAAAGCTGTCACGCAACAACATATGGTACATTTTAAAATTTTGGGTTGAATTCCTGTCCGAATTCTGGACCAAGTTGTTTCCTATTTATAGTTTAAACAAAGGGTTTCCTCAGGGCATTCTAATTCAAAGCAGACAGCTATTTCCCTTCGAAACTGGCAAATGGGTTCGAATTAGTAATGAAAGCTTCTTGATGAAGAGAGGTATGCATGAAAGACAATCAAAGCACAACAACACGAATGTCATAGAAAAACGCGACCGGAGATAACTTTTTCCTAGTCACTTAGGCTATTATAGAGGCGGCCCCAAAAAAAGCTCACTTTTGATAAGTGGTGGTGCCACGCTCTCGTCGTTACGATCAGCAGCTGACCATTTTTGTACTTTGGTAACCTGGTGATTGGTGGGTTCACATCTGTAGCAGGGATTTGTAATCATACCTACACAAATGAAAATGTTATTATTAATCACTCAGGCATTATCGAGATGACTGCAGGGTCTTCAAAGTTTAATCGCGCGTAACTGGAAAAACCGGAGTTGAGGTCTGCAATAGCATAGAAACTATAAGTGGTGACTGAGACCTAATAGTGATGACTGGGACCTAATAATGATGAAAAACCAGTTGCAAGTGCAAAATATATGCAAACATAATTTTCGTTACGGCTTGGTTTTCGATTTTTAATCAGACCTTTGTGCTTAAATTACCTGCATTTACTGACAATGTTTCTATTAACGCCAAGGAAAGCCATCACGAAATGCAGTTTATCATCATAAGCAACTCTCTACACATAAAGTGTGTAATTGGATGTGTGGCCGAGTGGTCTAAGGCGCTAGCTTCAGGTGCTAGTCTCTTCGGAGGCGTGAGTTCGAACCTCACTGCATTCATTATTTTTTTTTCTCACTCGACACTCTCTTCGGCCGATCTGATCTATTCAATGTACTACTGCTACCGAGTTGCCTTAATGGGGACTAGTTTCAATTTATTTCTATTTAACGAAACTTACATCTTTGATTAACGATTTCAGAGTCTCATCAAGTCGCAACATGTATAGCTGCTCCAAATCAAGAGACGGTTTCATTACTAAGAGAACGTTTCTCAGAATCTCTATAGTTTCGTCTTGAAAATTCTGCCTGTTTTGGTTTGTGGAGATTAATTTGGTCTCCAACAGAAGTATATCCGATAAAACTTTATTCAGATTGGTGAAATCATTCTGGAATTTGAGAATCGTCTTGCAAGTTGCAGAAATGGCCTGAATCTGTGTCTTTATCATCCCCTTTTCATCAGTACGTACAACGTCAGACTTTATCAACTCTGCCAGAAGGGGCAAAAGACCATATTGGAATATTCCTTCAACATCAATCCCATGATATTCCACGTCAATGTTGAGGAGAAACGACTGAAGCACTTGAATAGCATGTGATCTGATTTGACGACAAGGGTTGAAACACTGATGAGCCAACGCTTGAATTAAAGAGTAAATAGGATTAGCGTCTGGTGCGTTTGTTTCTTGGTTCAAAAATTCGGAAGCCAGTGCTGGAGTAACTATTCTGGGTGAAAGTGATGATGCAATATCGATTGACTTGATGGACACGTCAATGATGTCTTTGAAAGTGTTATTTTTCTCAATATTATGACCACTTTCTACCAGGCGATCATATTCTTGCTCCCATTGACTTCCCACAGCTCCCACAGCGGAAATCTCATCTAGCAATCCTAATAAGTTCATGAAATTTCCTGCTGTTATCAAACTTGGTTCAAGTTCAACAATCTTTTCCACTGTTTCACAGACATATTTGCTGAGCTTAGGGGATGATGCCAGAGTTCTCAATATATTCCAATATTCCTCTTTTGCAAGTAAAACTGTCTGAGCATACCCCTCATGAACAACTAACAGCTGAAGGGGTTTCAAAATTGGAACACCGTAATGAAGAACAATTTCTTTATGTTTCTCCACCAGTTTATTCAGTTGATCTATGGCTCCTAGTAAGACAAAGCTGTTCTCATGACCCTTTCCATACAGAAGCAAGAGTTTGTAAATATTCAACCGAGTCACTGCCCATGGTTTCAATAACTCATGGGGATCATCCAGATCAATAGCTGAGGTCAAGTTCGATAAGTTATTAAGTGTCTCAGTTGCAAGCTTGTCATCCTCTGAAATCAGTGTTAATGCTACAGCCGTTTCCACAATGAAAAGAAGATTTGGCACATAATTAAACGTGTTTGGACTTTTCTGAGGAAGACTATCAAACATAGAACCGACATAACCTGCAATAGTTTCTGGTGATGACTTAGAAAAGCCTTCGATCAGTGAAGAAATATTGCACGATTTGATACAATCTTGGGCAGACAATGTTGATTCAATTTCCTCCTCTGTAGGTTCATAAGCATCATCTGAAAACCCTTTCATAAAAGATGAAAATGATGCGATGAAACCGCTCTCTTGTTTAGCTTTGGATTTTGTGATCTGAAATTGAGGTTTGCAATGTGGGAGGCCACGAAGACCGATCCGCTGTTGCATTTCAATAAATAGGTCTGGATCGACGAGACCATGTTCGAACAAAGTTATGAGCACATCCATCAACCTTTTCCAGTTCTCAGAGGCAACTGTACCACTTTTCTGTAAAATTCTGAAGAAAACGACTGTACACAATTGAGCCTTTAAATCCCTACCAAACCACACAGACATTTCACTCACCGTTAATGTTTTTCCTGACTCCGTGTATACTATTTGAGTTGTTGGAATAAAAGAGTCTGTGGATGAACTCTTCTTTTCGTACCGATATAGAGACGTCTTACGGGAACCTGTCAAGGTGGACATGTAGGCTAAAACAGACAGAATCTTGTTGACATATTCATTGAGCCCAAAATAACTTGCCACCGACGCAAGTTTATCTATTCCTGCAATCATTCTTGTAATGATTTGATCATCTGTCGCCTCATTGAATATTGTTACTAGGGAAGTCAAAATATTGGTGCAACAGGTGGAAAATAAAGCTCTATCATATAAAATGATATCTTCAGCCTTTGTTTCAGAATCATTGGTGAATAACTTAGGATCTTGAATGTTAGAGTGATCATAATTGGCTTGCTCAGCCATTAAGTTGGCCCACATCTGGTCAAACCATTTGTTGTTACTACCGTCATGTTCTTCTGGCATAACAAATTCTCTTTCTTTGATGGCATAATAAATCTTTTCTATATACCAGGCTGGGAAGTCTTTGCCATTGTATGTTCCCTTTAAAATATTTCCATATTGCGGAAGAGTCATTTGATTCTTCACTTGAGGATTATGCAGATCTGTATTTAGCATAATAATGGAGTAAGACAGTACAAAAACAGAGTCTTTGTCAGGCATCACATGTTCATTATGCTCACCCTCAGCAAGTTGTGAATCAATGTTTTTCGGATAATTTTGGCATTCAACGTAGCGTTCTGCGAAAGTTTCAACTATTCTTTCAATCTGTTGTGACTCACCAGGGATTCTAAAGCTTTTCAACAGTACCCTCAAGGCTTCATCCACCCTCAGCCCTTTAAAGTCGAAGAGACCGACAAATTTCTTGAGTAAGTCAAGGTTTTTTGGTTTGGCAAGAAATTCGCCTAAAGTTCTCTTATTCAATCTACTAGATTTCACAAAGAAAAAGTTTGCCAATTCATCTAAATCATCGCAGTTGTCTACGAACCCTTTTTCTTGTAAAGTCTTCAGTCCTTCTTTGTAGGACTTGTCAAAAGCTTTTGTGCAATAGATAAAATCAGTCTTCCGACATTTTCTTTCCAGAATAGAATTATCTGGCAGCATATCTATGGCAATTTTCTTGGCTGCCATAGTCTTGACCCGAGCATGAAATCCGTTAATCAAACTGAGCAAACCTTCAAGACACAATGGGGGAACATTATCAGTTGTGAAAGTTGCTGAATCAGGAAGAGATACTCGACACAGAAAGCTGATAATGTCAACAGAAAGGTCCGTTCGATCAAAATCACAATCGTACAACTGATAGAGCGTAGTAAAAAATAGAGGGGACCTAGTCCAGAACACAGATAAGGACTCTATCAAAAATTCTTTGAATACAGGGGATCTACCAGGTACTGGAGTGTCATGACGCGAAGAAGCCACAGGGTCAATATCACTAGCAGCAGTTGCCTCAATCGATTTACTTGAAATCTTCTTTTCAGGATTTGGCGGATCCAACACACGCTTCTGAGTTTCAGCCATAACGAACTCTAACGAGGATATCTCAACAATGGAATTGCAAATAGCCCGCAAAATGAGTTCAATTTGAATCTTTAAACGGGAGCCAAGAGTCACAGTTAACGTACAGAAAAGAGACAAAGCGTGGGTGACAATCGCTGGCGATTCCACATTTTGAATCGTATGGAGTAAATGGTGACATATTTCGTCGGAAACAAGATTCATCAAAGATGGGTGTTTGGGAAATTCGTTTCCAGAAACTTCAATAGCAGTAGTGATCAATTGGAATGCTAAGACTTTGGTACTCTCAGTAGTTTCAAACTGTTTTTTTGGATTGATTATAGCAATAAGTATTTTGAAATGTTCTCGGATACAAACAATTCCGTAGGGAACAGCATCATCACCTACGGAAGGGTTCAAGGATATTTGGGGCCCTTGGTCTTTTCCTTTTGCTTCGTTACCTACATCCTGCTGTTCCAGATCTTTTCCCCCATTTTCTCCATTAAGTTCATTTGTTTCACTTTTCAAATTCCCCTGTTGCTCATTTTGCTCTGCGTCAACAGAATTCTCTGGTTCAATGGTTCCACCTATCATGTCTGGTTGAATACTATGAGATACATCACCCAGCTGGTGGTCGCGTGTATCAAGATGGTTACCATCGTGACTTGCTGGGTTAATGAAAATCAGTTTGGTAAATAATTTCACTGTAATAGCAGAAATTGTCATTTCTGCACCCTTTCTTAGAACCTCGCTTCTTTTCTTATTGCATGCCAATGACAGACAAGTCTGGATGATATCGTAAAGAACATCGTCAGACAACAAATAGCCAACTGACGATTCTACAATGGCCTGTAGTAAACCAAGTACCCTCAACAAGACTGCGTCGTCAGATGTGTTGTCGCTCTGGAATCGACAATGTGTTAACGCATCAACGGTTTGATGCAATGCACTAACAGCGTTGAGTGAAGACTCCGTTAGCAACGAGTATCGCAACACCTTGTGCAGCGTAGTCAAGGCCAATGAGGTAACGTATCCACTTGTTTCAGGTGACTTGACAACCATAAGAAAAGGTTGCAGTAAAGTGAGACTGTCGACTTCACTGATACTATTCGTGTTGATCAACATTGATCTCAATTGTATCAAACCGCTCAATAATGGATCATCCGATTTGAACTTTGATGCTGAAGTAGAGTTATGGGAATGGATTTTGCCTTGTTTAGAGGCTCGAGAGCCTAATATCGAATCACTATCGGTAAACAGCCCGTCTGATCCAAACTGGCCACCTAGAATAGCTGCAACCCCAATATTTCTCTGCTCAGACCAGCGAGACCCCCGACGCATGGCTGCAGCAATAGAGACACAATCATTTATGATGAGAGATTGCCCATCTACTTGAATGCTCATTATTTTGGGGGGGATTCTTTCAATATCGGTGATTTCTGTAGCAAGAGGAGAGTTTTTGTGATGACGGAGCGCCCTAGGTGTAAACGTCGAAGGAAGCGCGAAAGAACCTAGGCGGTCTATTGCCCTACTAAGATTTTCTGGTTATTTTGTCGACACTTCATATGTTCCCCCATCAACACACGCGAAACATCTTCTGACTGGCCATCCAGCATCGAGAGGAATATCATATGCATCTCTTAGTTTCTCCAAACTATATAACCTGGTAAAGCCCATTGCACCCTCCTCATGAAA